AGGTAGTCTAATACATTATTGATATGATTTCTAGCTTAATTACCTGGTCAGGTAGTCTAATACATTATTGATATGATTTCTAGCTTAATTACCTGGTCAGGTAGTCTAATACATTATTTATATGATTTCTAGCTTAATTACCTGGTCAGGTAGTCTAATACATTATTGATATGATTTCTAGCTTAATTACCTGGTCAGGTAGTCTAATACATTATTGATATGATTTCTAGCTTAATTACCTGGTCAGGTAGTCTAATACATTATTGATATGATTTCTAGCTTAATTACCTGGTCAGGTAGTCTAATAGATTTTCGTTTGCACAGTGATGAGTACATTCTTTTCATTAATTCGATTCACTGGTTCATGGGAAATTTGACCTGCGTACTTAAGCTTGTACATTTTCAATAGTTAGCTTGTTTCTTTTGTTCATATTTTATACTAGTTCAATCGACTGTCAGTTTCTATTGTCATGTCGGTATTTGCTTTTTTTTTTTTTTTTTTTTTACATCTTAATTTTTAAGAATATGATTTACCAATAGACACATGTATGTTTGTAAACTCGATACATCCGCTAATCTGTGTGCAGTAAGCTGAATGAAAAATGTTTATGTTAAAATTAATGTGTTTCTATTCAAACATGTGTCATAGGAAAGAAATGCTTTTGTACGAATGAGTTGACCGGAATGACAGCACTCATGCATGAGGAAACATTTATCGATGCTTATCTTTTCATGTTTTCGAGGCAATGTTTAAAAAAAAGTAATATGGTTTACACAAGAAGGAAATATGATTGCATTTGAAATATATCTGTTACTACAACGAAACCAACCAGGACATCTTTCCACCATATAATAAGCTATATGATAAGCCTAATGATCTCAGTTTCCCAATTGTAATTTTTCAATTGCAATCTCATAACACAGGATTTCAAGAAATGCAGGTTGATGAACATTATGGGGAAGTTATACAGTCGTCATAGGAATCTCACTGAAAAATGCGATATGGATCTGGACGTGTTTGATCCTTTGTGTGCCTGGTGGTTCCGTTGTTGTACTTATTCTCACTTTGATTTGCATAACAGAAGACTTTTCCGGAAAGTCTGGTCTTATTCTCAGGATGCTCCTGTTCTTTTGTTTTTATTGTGCCCTGAATTCATTTAACTTGAATTTAGATTGATTTTGTTCACATGTTGATATTTTCTTGTTTTCGTTTTTTTTTTTTTTTTTTTTTTATTATTTTTTGTTTTTTTACATCTGTATGAAATGTCCTTTCACTTCGGAGAATTGATTTTTTTCATAGTTTTATATGACAGAATGAAGACTTGCACAACGAAATTGATTTTAGACAACTTTAGAAGAATATGTATGTCTGCATAAACTAAATCTTGAAATCCACCCTAACAGATAGAGTTTCTGTGTTGGTGTAATGAAATGTAAGTATGCATTATAGGTATTTTGTAATTGACAACATTATCACTATTTGAAATTGAAATAACCTTTATTTATACATTACAGTCAATTATTTGGACAAAAATATTGTGCATTGCAATCAATAATCGTTATATGTTTATTACTCCTTGAATCATGCGTATAGCAAAAGTTCAATGTCATACTTCATCTTCTACGGACATGTTGTAATAACCAAGTCCTGAACAACAACGTCAGGTGTATATATTTCAAAAGGAATGTATTGTATAGATGGTTTTTGCCAAGGGAATCTATTTGTCACTATTGTTGAGGATAGGTCAAACATTGCTATGGCCAAAATCGTTATTTCTATCATTATAAACGAATGTTTATATCAATGTTAAAATCGGACAGTCGATATTGCTTCGCTTTAATTTGTTGCTTTCTTAAGTCAATTATGTTCGATTTTACTTCAATGTATTCATCGTTGATAGCTATTTACAGCTGTGTTTGGGTCGTTGCACGTGTGATCGAGTAAACCTTTGTTCGGATCACCATATGGCGGTCGTTGATTTGTGAATGTAGAAAGGCATGCTTGGTTGTTAAACTGCCATGTCGTAAACAGTCAAGGCCTACACTGTCATATTTGGTGATCAAATATGCTTATATCATAAACTTTATTAGAAGAAAATCTCGATAACAATTTTCTCATTGGAAAGTTTTTTAGACGTTAATAAAGAGAAAGAATATTGAGATTTCATTCATTAAAGATGAAAAAATCCTTTCTTTACATATTTTTGCCGGAGTATTTGGATATAGAAAGATTCTTTTCCCTCAACAAATCTAATTATAATCAAGGATTATTAATTATTATTAGTATTATTAATTTATTCCAATAACCACGTTTTCCCATAAGTATGAAAAACGTAGAAACATAGAGTTTTAAATTTGAACGTGACTGAACAGAAATATCTAAACTATCAACATATTCAGAACAAAGACGCCAGTATCGATATATAAGTCGTCAGTTACATGGTAGTTTTCCCCATTATCAATTTTAAATCAATATATAGTAACAATATCCCTACGTGTTTGTATTTTGCATAAACTTGCTATGTAGACTTTCGAGAATTCGTGTCCGGAAAAATATTCTTTCAAATGGCACCCTGCAAATCCCGCGATCAAGTTACTATTTTGATAACAGTATCATTGAATCAATTTTTAAATGTTATCAGCGAGCTGAAAGCAGGTTAGCGATAAACTGGAAGTATTTTATTTGCAATGAGTTACTTTGTTTTGTATGATAATATAGGCATTATAATAAGAAATCTTTTTACGACATCAGATATTATATGCCTCACATTTTGATACCCTGTTTTTTTTTAGAGAAATACAATTTATCATATGCTTCCACGATAATCTTACATATTATCAAGTATCCAATTTATATGTATATATATATCTATATTTATGTATATATATATCTATAATTATGTATGTATATCTATAGATGTCGGTGATATCTTCAGACACGTCTATTTAGTCCTTTCCTGCCAGTCTTTGGCCATCGGGAAAACAGTGACATTTCTCCTGTGTAGGACAATGGGATTTCTATGGCACCACAGAGAACGAGAACCTAGGATAAAAAGCAAAAACATAACTATAATATCATAATATTTGTGTTCTGTTAACAACTCGATTGAAAGTGTATCGGGCTGAGATACATTTTATGTGAGATAAATCCGTTATGTTCAAGCAAAACGCATTTTTGTAGCAATATCTGTCACTCTCTCATCTATGTGTAAAACATTTTTTGTTGAGTGGTTATTTACCTCCTGTTTGACTAAAATATATAAATGTTTTCGCCTGCTTCGATCTAACATGAAACCTCACCTAACGACCACCTATAAATTACGACCACCCCGCTATTACGGGCACTTTTTTAGTACCGTTTTTTTCACTATATATCTTTGTATTGGTCGCTTCAGTTTTACGACCACCCCGCTTTCCATATTAAGACCACTTCTAACAGTCCCAAAGACCACTAATTAACGGTAATTGACCTCACAATTACAACCAAGTTCTGACCAGTGATTAAAGTTTACCTGGTGGGCAGTGAACCACGAGCATGTGTGTCGTTCTTAACCATTGTTTTCGTCATGGGTTACCGACTCTGTTGTTTGTTAATTATATATTGATAGATCGGTAGGTATATTGTTAAACACCTTAGAAACCCTGCTTACCCAAAGGTGAATTATGTAATCTTTTCGGCCGATATTCCTTTGCTCGCACGCGCACACGTTGTCGAGGGTGTTAAACATGTTTTCACTGTCACAAAACTCAGATGAGCAATGACAACACCACATAAACGAAACAAGCTATCGCTAAAAAAGGACTTATGGAAGAGGAAGCTGTCCAGATCTGCAGCTCTTCGCAACAGTGTACACTGGACTATTTTATAAGTAAAACGACAAATTTGTTGTACTGAGTGATACGCTGACAGAGTTAATGTGTATGCGAATATATGTGAAAAATGAAGCGTTGAAAGACTTTATAGTGACTTCATTAATGTTGTTACAAATGTGTTTTACTGTGTAATACATTGACTGAGTTAATGTGTTTGTAAATTTATGTGAAAAATTATCGTTAAATTCCTATTGAACTTACAATTGATTGTTTGTTTCCTTTTATTCAGTATTTACAACAGTAAAGATTCATGTATATTATGATGTAATCTAAGGAATATGTACATATATATATTCTTTCGTCAATTCACCAATTTTATCTTTTTTACATGCATTTCATAAAATTCAACATTTTATATACAGTTTAGTTATTATTGTTGAATAATATACATGTACATTACTTAATGATATATATAGACTTTATTTTAAACAGAATTACCGGTCTTTGCGGTCAATCTGATCTACTTCACTATTAAGACCACCTCGCTATTACCTAGGTTACGAGTAGTAGCACATTTGTTACCTAGGTTACGAGTAGTAGAACAATTGTTACCTAGGTTACGAGTAGTAAAACATTTGTTACCTAGGTTACGAGTAGTAGAACAATTGTTACCTAGGTTAAGAGTAGTAGAACATTTGTTACCTAGGTTACGAGTGGTAGAACAATGGTTACCTAGGTTACGAGTAGTAGAACATTTGTTACCGAAGGAACGAGTGGAGGAATATTTACATTTGAAATATGTAACATTATAATTGTTACATGTGTTTCTAAAGATTGAAGATATTATTAGTAGCAGAACACGCACTCTCTGAATGACCAGAAGGAAACATTTTCTGTCAGAGTGAAATGGTAATGAAACACTTGATTTATTCATTCTACCATCAAAATTAAATTCACATTCAATTACATGTTCATAATAATTATCTGAAAAACAATGTGTTTGTGTATTTCGTATGTGATATGTTTAAAAAAAAAGATACATTCAACTACTGTGTTATTACAATGAGATTATGAAATTTTGTTTTGAAAAATACATGATTAGGGTGTATTGCATGGAAATTTGTAGGTGAAGATGTCGAAAGAGAAAGAAAGAAAAAAAGAGAAAAGTGCGAAGATTGAATACCTGTTTATGAAGTATTAGCGGTATCAGTTGATTGGTGTTCTTGCACTGGTGGCGCTTTAAGAGGAGATGGTTTCGGCTGAGAAGTATTGACTTTTTTGTTGATCGACGAGTCAGCAGCAGATAAATATCCAAAACCGTAGTGTTGCTTGCCGTACCAGTCATATTTGTGGTTACCATTGACGTGCTTTCGCGTATTACCAAAAGGCCGATGTTGTACATTCCACGGTGCTCTGGGGTTGCCACTAGGGATATGCCATTGGGGGAGGTGTGAAGTTCCTGGGAATAAATTGGGACTTTGCGAGTTATTTAACTTTGGAAAGTCTGGTGTAGGTAAAAGATACCGATGTCCTCTTTGGATATTTGAGCATTGTGAGTTGAATTTATTTGGATTTGAGTCAAACATTACTGTCTCCTCTTGCATATGTTGATCCCTGAAGATTTGATCGACTGATTTCAGAAATGAATCATCACTTCGTAGATCTCTGTTCCGTGTAGGATGGGAAATATGACTGCTTTCCGCCAAAGGACGCGATAGATGATCCAGGTTTTCTTGTGGGTCACCGTCTGACCGAATTTCAGACAATCGGCGGATTTTTTTCAAAAATTCTCGCTCAAGTTGCTGTCGAGTTACTTTTTCCAGTTGCTTTAGGATGTCAATGGTTCGTGGCACTGCTGACTGGTATGTTTGATCCATATCCGCAAGCCGAAAGTCCTCGTCATCTTCTTCATTCGACCTTCTCTTTGGATACGGAGGTGGAGACCGCCGTCTTGCATAATCGCGACATCTGTCACCCCTTCGTCTGTCCCGGTCCCCTCTCCGATCGTCATAGTGACAGTCCCCTCTCCGATCGTCATAGTGACAGTCCCCTCTCCGATCGTCATAGTGAGAGTCTCCTCTCCGAAAGTCATATTCCCGGTTCCCTCTCCGACTGTCATAGTTTCGGTCGTTTTTATGTTTCTCAGAAAGGTTGTTATCAATACCGTTTGTGGAAAGTTCAACTTTGATGTTGGAACCAAACACGTGTTTTCCATTCATTTCTACAGAAGCATTCATTGCATGTTCAGGCTCATAGAAGTCAATGAAAGCAAACCCTTTTGAACCAGGATTCCGAGCGACCCAGACTTTCTTAATTTTTCCAAATTTTTCAAATGTTCTGTGAAGTCGATCATTTCCGACGTCGTCCACAAGACCACCAACATATAATTTGGTTTTCGACATTCCTAGATGTGCTTGGCGATGGCTGAAGGTCGAAAGAAGAAGGTTATTCATGAAACATGCGTGATATAGTGGTAACCAAGGAGTTCTTTATGATTCCATTCAATTTTGTTCGAAAGGTTCTGACTATCTATCAACGATTTTATTTTCTGTCTGTCGTTGTCGGCGGCCGAGAGAGAGAATTCCTCTTGGCATTAAAACGTAAAAAAAATAGCGACCCTTGCATATGTTAGCCTGTGTGAAATCTCACTCATGACCGCGACAAAGATTAAGAAATGATAAAAAATAAATAAATAAAATCGCGCATAGATAGTAAAAATCTTTCTGACTACCATTAAGTGTATTTATGTGTAGACAGAATAGAACTGTTTAAATGGTTTTAAATGGATGGAAATTATGTGTCAACATTCATTGTTAATACATTTATCTAAAACCACTAATTTACCAAAATGCAAACACAGATGTCTATAAAACTACTAGATGACCAATATAAACTGATGTCTATAAAATTACTAGATAACCAATATCAACTCTGATGTCTATATAACTACTAGATGACTAATATAATCTTTGATCTCTATAAAACTACTAGATAACCAATATAAACTGATGTCTATATAACTACTAGATAACCAATATCAACTCTGATGTCTATAAAACTACTATATAACCAATATAAACTGATGTCTGTAAAACTACCAGATAACCAATATCAACTCTGATGTCTATATAACTACTAGATGACTAATATAATCTTTGATCTCTATAAAACTACTAGATAACCAATATAAACTGATGTCTATAAAACTACTATATAACCAATACAAACTGATGTCTATAAAACTACTAGATAACCAATATAAACTGATGTCTATATAACTACTAGATAACCAATATCAACTCTGATGTCTATAAAACTACTATATAACCAATACAAACTGATGTCTATAAAACTACTAGATAACCAATATAAACTGATGTCTATATAACTACTAGATAACCAATATCAACTCTGATGTCTATAAAACTACTATATAACCAATACAAACTGATGTCTATAAAACTACTAGATAACCAATATAAACTGATGTCTATATAACTACTAGATAACCAATATCAACTCTGATGTCTATAAAACTACTAGATAACCAATATAAACTGATGTCTATAAAACTACTAGATAACCAATATCAACTCTGATGTCTATATAACTACTAGATAACCAATATAAACTGATGTCTATAAAACTACTAGATAACCAATATAAACTGATGTCTATAAAACTACCAGATAACCAATATCAACTCTGATGTCTATATAACTACTAGATGACTAATATAATCTTTGATCTCTATAAAACTACTAGATAACCAATATAAACTGATGTCTATAAAACTACTATATAACCAATACAAACTGATGTCTATAAAACTACTAGATAACCAATATAAACTGATGTCTATATAACTACTAGATAACCAATATCAACTCTGATGTCTATAAAACTACTATATAACCAATACAAACTGATGTCTATAAAACTACTAGATAACCAATATAAACTGATGTCTATATAACTACTAGATAACCAATATCAACTCTGATGTCTATAAAACTACTATATAACCAATATCAACTCTGATGTCTATATAACTACTAGATAACCAATATAAACTGATGTCTATATAACTACTAGATAACCAATATCAACTCTGATGTCTATATAACTACTAGATAACCAATATAAACTGATGTCTATAAAACTACTAGATAACCAATATAAACTGATGTCTATAAAACTACTAGATAACCAATATCAACTCTGATGTCTATATAACTACTAGATAACCAATATAAACTGATGTCTATAAAACTACTAGATAACCAATATCAACTCTGATGTCTATATAACTACTAGATAACCAATATAAACTGATGTCTATAAAACTACTATATAACCAATATAAACTGATGTCTATAAAACTACTATATAACCAATATAAACTGATGTCTATAAAACTACTATATAACCAATATAAACTGATGTCTATAAAACTACTAGATAACCAATATCAACTCTGATGTCTATATAACTACTAGATAACCAATATAAACTGATGTCTATAAAACTACTATATAACCAATATAAACTGATGTCTATAAAACTACTAGATAACCAATATCAACTCTGATGTCTATATAACTACTAGATAACCAATATAAACTGATGTCTATAAAACTACTATATAACCAATATAAACTGATGTCTATAAAACTACTAGATAACCAATATAAACTGATGTCTATAAAACTACTAGATAACCAATATCAACTCTGATGTCTATATAACTACTAGATAACCAATATCAACTCTGATGTCTATAAAACTACTATATAACCAATATCAACTCTGATGTCTATATAACTACTAGATAACCAATATAAACTGATGTCTATAAAACTACTAGATAACCAATATCAACTCTGATGTCTATATAACTACTAGATAACCAATATAAACTGATGTCTATAAAACTACTATATAACCAATATAAACTGATGTCTATAAAACTACTAGATAACCAATATAAACTGATGTCTATATAACTACTAGATAACCAATATAAACTGATGTCTATAAAACTACTATATAACCAATATAAACTGATGTCTATAAAACTACTATATAACCAATATAAACTGATGTCTATAAAACTAATAGATAACCAATATAAACTGATGTCTATAAAACTACTATATAACCAATATAAACTGATGTCTATAAAACTAATAGATAACCAATATAAACTGATGTCTGTAAAACTACCAGATAACCAACATAAACTGATGTCTGTAAAACTACTAGATAACCAACATAAACTGATGTCTGTAAAACTACCAGATAACCAATATAAACTGATGTCTATAAAATTACTAGATAACCAATATCAACTCTGATGTCTATATAACTACTAAATAACCAATATAAACTGATGTCTATAAAACTACTATATAACCAATATAAACTGATGTCTATAAAACTACTAGATAACCAATATAAACTGATGTCTGTAAAACTACCAGATAACCAACATAAACTGATGTCTGTAAAACTACTAGATAACCAATATAAACTGATGTCTGTAAAACTACTAGATAACCAATATAAACTGATGTCTGTAAAACTACTAGATAACCAACATAAACTGATGTCTGTAAAACTACTAGATAACCAACATAAACTGATGTCTGTAAAACTACCAGATAACCAACATAAACTGATGTCTGTAAAACTACCAGATAACCAACATAAACTGATGTCTGTAAAACTACTAGATAACCAATATAAACTGATGTCTGTAAAACTACTAGATAACCAATATAAACTGATGTCTATAAAACTACTAGATAACCAATATCAACTCTGATGTCTATATAACTACTAGATAACCAATATAAACTGATGTCTATAAAACTACTATATAACCAATATAAACTGATGTCTATAAAACTACTAGATAACCAATATAAACTGATGTCTATATAACTACTAGATAACCAATATAAACTGATGTCTATAAAACTACTATATAACCAATATAAACTGATGTCTATATAACTACTAGATAACCAATATCAACTCTGATGTCTATAAAACTACTATATAACCAATATCAACTCTGATGTCTATATAACTACTAGATAACCAATATAAACTGATGTCTATAAAACTACTAGATAACCAATATCAACTCTGATGTCTATATAACTACTAGATAACCAATATAAACTGATGTCTATAAAACTACTATATAACCAATATAAACTGATGTCTATAAAACTACTAGATAACCAATATAAACTGATGTCTATAAAACTAATAGATAACCAATATAAACTGATGTCTGTAAAACTACCAGATAACCAACATAAACTGATGTCTGTAAAACTACTAGATAACCAACATAAACTGATGTCTGTAAAACTACCAGATAACCAATATAAACTGATGTCTATAAAATTACAAGATAACCAAAATAAACTCACTGATGTCTATATAACTACTATATAACCAATATAAACTGATGTCTATAAAACTACTAGATAACCAATATAAACTGATGTCTGTAAAACTACCAGATAACCAACATAAACTGATGTCTGTAAAACTACTAGATAACCAATATAAACTGATGTCTGTAAAACTACTAGATAACCAATATAAACTGATGTCTGTAAAACTACTAGATAACCAACATAAACTGATGTCTGTAAAACTACTAGATAACCAACATAAACTGATGTCTGTAAAACTACCAGATAACCAACATAAACTGATGTCTGTAAAACTACTAGATAACCAACATAAACTGATGTCTGTAAAACTACCAGATAACCAACATAAACTGATGTCTGTAAAACTACCAGATAACCAACATAAACTGATGTCTGTAAAACTACTAGATAACCAATATAAACTGATGTCTGTAAAACTACTAGATAACCAATATAAACTGATGTCTATAAAACTACTAGATAACCAATATAAACTGATGTCTATAAAACTACTAGATAACCAACATAAATTGATGTCTATAAAACTACTAGGAACTAATCAAGTGAAAACTCCATAAATTTAATCTATACGTTGTTCGTTCGGATTGTTCAGATTAAGTTCGGATGATATCCCCCCCCCCCCCAAAAAAAAAAAAAAAATACAAATTACACATTAGAAGCGTAACAAGAAATATGATAAGATGATCGAAAAACAAGCTAGAAGCTTACATTGATCATAAGATGGACCATGGCTTTTAATACATTTTCTTATTTTAATAATTTTTTTGAAAATAGCGAAAAATAGACCTCTTTGAAAATATAACCTGTATGAAGTAGAAGGAACCTAAATATTACATAACATTATTTATGGAGGAGAAGGTGTTGATAATGTTGTTGTAACATACTGTCTATGCTCTTGTCACTGATTTTGACAAACAAGAATGTTT